CCAGGAGTGGTCGCCTGGCCTCAGGCAGGGAAGCGCTAATGTTGGTTGATGTTCCTTACCTCCCTGTTACCACTTGGCACACGCAAATGTAAATAGTGGTTTGGGTGTTCCTTCTGGCCGAGCTATGAGCTCCTTCACCGAAGCTGCTCTGGGATTTCTGTGTGATCCCACTCAGGAAAGGTTTGCTAAATACAGGATAAAAAGGACTTTCCTTCTTCCTTCTGAGGAAGGCACTTACTTCCTCTCTGGGGAAGGGGAGAAGGGGTGATTTTCGCCTGAGGTCACACTCAGGTCTTCCAAGAATTTAGCTTCAGACCATTTTGCTTTGTTCCCATTAATTTCTCTCCTCACTTCCCTGAATGTAGTTGCTCTCACTCCGTCGTCTCTGGGAATGGTTAGCGCCTTGTATTTCTCTGAAAATGCTTGCGCGCGCCCCCCCCAATATAATGCTCTCCTTCGGCTCCCACATTTTGGTGGGCTGAAGTTTGCAGATCTGTCCTTTTCTTCCAGGTGAGCCTGTTCCTCCAAACTCCACTATTCAAATGCACTTTACAGAAGAGAAGAGAAGGGAAAGCCCTTTGAAAGGCAGGTTGGGAAGTCTCCAGGGTAGTTAATGGATGATTTTGTGTGTGTGTGTGGTGGGGAGGTTTATGTTTTCTTTTACACCCCGCTGAGCAGCTCAGAGAAGGGGCTCTGGCTTCTGGGGAGAACCATGATGTCCTGCACATCGAAGCAAGGGCTGAGGGGCGGTGGGGAAGAGACATCCAATTCCCTCTTGGTGCTAGGCTTAAAATCTGGAAAAAGTAGGACTGCGGTGCAGTGAGGGGCAGATCAGGGCTTTCCTGGAGTGTCATCCCACATTGTTCTCCTTGGTGAAGAGGATGATACCAGCTGCTACCAGAAGGCAGCCTGGCGGGGTCTGCAGGTGCCCGCAGCCCCTTCGGGTCATGTAGACTTGACCTGATGCCTGCCCCTGAATCCATCCCTCCTGAGAGACTGCTGAGGTTCTCCTCCAAGCAGGAGAGAGAGAGAAACCGTGCAATTAAACTGTGCTTGTTGTTAGAGATTAGGAAGAAAGCACTAACTTTGAATTTTGGATTTTGTAGTCGGAGATTAAGACTTAATTTACACTTGCTGCTTATGAGTGAGAATGAGAAAACCTGCAGTGGTCTTTACTATTCTAATAAAGTGTCAATTTAATGGAAGAATGTAATAAAAATAGAAAAGTATAATTAAATTGATATTGTGCTGTTACTGGTCTCCGTATTATTCTCGTCTAATTACACACCATTGTCCCACTGAGAAGAAATAACTGAATTATAATTACAGAGTTGGGCTGGGGCTGCCAACAGTGAAGCGTGCCCACCGCAGTTTCCTGTCACGTGTCCGTGGTGGGCAGTGGCAGCTGATTTCAGCTTCGTCTCCTGGGGTTGTCCTGTGGGCAGCCTCTTCCTCCCCATCGCTCAGGCTGGCCCCCAAGATGAAGCCACTCCAGGAGGAAGTGATAAGGTTTGACAGGACGGGCCCTTCAAATATAAACCTGTAAAAGGGGAGCTGGCCGTGTCTTCTGGAATGCTGTGAACTTGAACCTTTTCCTTCCTCAGTTGAAGAAGTCTTGCTTCTTTAGCGCTCATTCCTTTTCACCCTTTTGAGCCTTCCGCCCCAGTGTGCTTTTTCTGGAGAGGAAGTCAGCGCTAGGAGACACAGAGCGGGTTGAGTATTGCTCCCCAAAATTAGCAAATAAGGGAAGACTCCCTTATTCTGTCCTCTTTCTCCCCAGGATTCTCCTGCCTGTCGCTGGGTTACTGTCTGCGAAGGTCCTTGGCTTACTGCACTTGGTCTCAACTGAAAGTTAGAGCCACAGCCCAACCCATGTAATTTTTTTCCCCTGTATGCTTTACTGTGCAAGTGGGCCCCATCCCATATACAGAAGATCCCCAGAGAGCTCTCAGCTGCTTGAAGCATTAGCTCCTCTATGAAAAAGAGACCGTCCAGGCCTATTTTTGGTTCTGTCCTCACGCCACTTGCCATCAAGACATTACCCCATCTCACAGGGGAAAGGCAGGCCGATAACCCTTCATTCAGGATAAACCAGAAGCAATTTGAAACCAGGAAATAGTGAAAGAATCATTAAGTGATTTTTAAATGGAGCAGCAGCCTTGGTCACTTTCATCTGGAAGCCAGAACAGTGTCACTGGTACCCTGCAGACTTGATGGGTACTCTTTCCTTCTTCCTCGCACTGTGACCTTGGCCAGGTTTGCAAGCTTGGACAAGTAACCTGATCCCTCTGGGCCTAGGGGCTGCATCCGATCAGCGGGGGATCCCGAGGCCTCCCTGCTTTGCACAGTTCTCTGGATTAAATGTAAAGGCAATTAATTGATTTACATATGGTGTCTGAAGGTCCTAGCTATTGACATTATTTCGTACTTCTCAGTGAGGGTGCAGAAGGCGCTTTGAGTGACATGCCTTTCGGCGAGCACATCACATGGCGTCTTACCTCCGCTCTTCTTGGATGTTTTCTTGCCTCTCCGTCTTCGAGTAGCAAGATAGAACATTCTTCTTTTGAACCGTGTTCCCTGCTTTTTGAAAATATCTATGATTGAATTAAATATTCATGCAGGTATGGTGTGTCGTTTGAAGGTGGCATTATCATAGGGTCCTCAGTAATTGTCTGGTGGCAGTTTGCCTCTGCATCTGTGACTTCTCCTGACGGACATCATGTTCTTTGGATTTCTCCCGCTGCAGTGGGAAAAGCATACAGAGCATAAAACAAATGAACATGACAGAAATTTACACCTTGCGAAGCATACGGATTTCTTTTGAAACTTCTCCTTTGAGGCTCAGAAAGATAAGTGGGCCTACCTTACAAACGACAGAACTACTCAACTCTCTGGTAATTCAGAAGACTTTTATGGATCCCGGATTGCTTGATCTTTGCCTTTAAATGACTCACGAGCAGGAACCATATAGTATATTCTGTATCTAATTAGCCTGGCCTCTTTTCTGAACATTTTCCTTTGGTTTTCTGGTGTCTCTAGTCCTGCATAGAAGCCATGAAGAAGAACAGCTTTGGAGGTGCCTGGGTGGCTCAGTCGGTTAAGCACCGTCAGGTCATGATGTCAGGGTCCCGGGATGGAGTCCAGCATTGGGCTCCCTGCCCAGCGGGGAGTCTGCTTCTCCCTCTCCGTCTGTTGCTCCTCCTGCTTGTGCTCTCTCTCCCTCTCAAATCAGTAAAATCTTTAGGAAAAAAAAGGAGGAACTGTTTGGCTTTACCTACTGTTGAGCTTGGCCTGTTACCCTTACCCACTTGGAGACTCCGCTTCCTTATATGTCTGCAGGCTTCAGAGCGGTTGGAAGATCAGAGGAGTTGATGTATCTGTCCTTTAGTCTTGCTTTTAGCCCAAACTCGTCTGGTTATTACCTGTATTTTCATAGCTGTTTTTTTGTACCTATAGAAAGGAGATCAATCTCCATCCTTCCTTTCCTCATCTAACCTCCAGTGAGACATGCATCTGTTTATATCATAGCTTCTGTGTCCTACAGTCTCAAGATGCTGCAGGTCGACCTCGAACAACCATCCAGTCAGCCAAAACAGTTTCCTTTGATGTGTCAGCATCTTTCTGAGACAGTATCTCCTTGTTATCAGCGATGACTTGCTTCTCTCTCCCGGAGCATTTTATTTTGGTCCGGATACAGGGGTTTGTGGACTCTGAGACAGATGTCTGGATAACAGGACCTTGCCCGCAGGCGAAACTAGTGTGTGGTGTTTGACTGGTGACCTCTGGGGAGAGCGGTGGCTGCAAGGGTGTGTTGGCTTTAGGTAAATTAAGCGAGTCACTCAAGATTTCTGTTTTTGTTTTTTTTTTTTTTTTCTGTATGCCGGCAATACGATAATACAAATGATACTTAAGTTTTTAAAAAGGTAACTTTTGGGGCTCCTGGGTGGCTCAGTCAGTTAAGCATCTATTTTTTCTGCTCAGGTCACAATCTTCAGAGTTCTGGGATCGAGTCCTGCATCGGGCTCCCTGCTCAACGTGGAGTCTCCTTCTCCCTCTGCCTCTCCCCCTGCTCATGCTCTCTCGCTCTCTCTCAAATAAATAAATAATCTTTTTTAATTTAAAAAAAAGGGTAACTTTTTCTTCTTTCTGCAGGTACCATAATTCACACTTGTATTGGAAGGGTGATAGCTCATTCTTAGTTGAGAAAGTCTTTAATGAAATTAAATGAGGAAGCAAGTCTAAGCCTTTAAGGGGGTGTGTGTCGAAGATGACTTAGAAACTCTTCGATCATACTCATTTTCATATACATGGTCTGTAAATGTTCTACTTGCTAGTAATTGTGTTCAATAAAGAATGAGAATTTCAACAGGTTGCTACCCTTTTACCGTGTAGTAATTCTTATAGTTTGAAAAATGATTTTTTCTTGCTTTTTTATCTTTCTCTGTATCATCAACTAGCAAATTATTTGCCTGACTGGAGAAAAGATAATTCAGAAAAGTGTATGGTTTTAAAACTCATGCTCTAGGGACGCCTGGGTGGCTCAGTTGGTTGGACGATTGCCTTCGGCTCAGGTCATGATCCCGGAGTCCCGGGATCGAGTCCCGCACCAGGCTCCCGGCTCCACGGGGAGTCTGCTTCTCCCTCTGACCTTCTCCTCGCTCATGCTCTCTCTCACTCTCTCTCTCTCAAATAAATAAATAAAATCTTTAAAAACAAAAGCAAAAAAACTAATGCTCTACCATTAGGTATACTTGTTACACGGTTTTTGTGAGTGGTGGATTTGCTTTGCTTGCTTCTGCATGACTTCGCCTAATAAAATTTACTCTGTGTACCGTGGCAGCCAGAAATTAGCTGGGAAGTGGGAAAGAACAGTTTTTTGCTCTGGATAGAGAATAAGAAGTAAACAGTAGTTACCTTGGGCTTTAGTTTTTTTCTTAGAAACAGCTTGTTTTCTTATAAGCTGCTCATTACATTTTAATTTACTTAGTATTTTCTTCTAGGTTGGAAGGAAGATTGATACAGACAAAAGCAACATGATTCAGGTAAATGGGCTTTTAATTTCTTTATGTACCTTTTAGACTTGATTTGTATTTCCCATGTTTTTCCACGGAGAAGACCTTAAAAAAAAACACACCCAATTTTTGTGGCCAATTTGAATAGTTAAAGAACGTTTTGGGTATATAAAGATAACAATCAAATGCTTACCTATACCATTTAATTAACTTAGTCACTTATTGTATATTTAATAATTGTGTGTCTCTGTCATACAATATTATAGCTCATGCTGTCTCCTACCTCAGAGTAGTTTTCTTCCCTTTTCCTCCCAGTCCTTACGTACATATCTGATGTTGGCGTCTCTGTTATTGGTACATTGTTAAAGCACCCAGTAGCATTTTCCAGAGCACATTACCATTTTGGTTGGCGGCGATGCAGCACATTGGGAATCCGTGTGTGAGGCTATAATTGGAAGTTTTACTCCAAGCTGTAAGTAACCACGTGCCCAGTGTTAGGACAGCTGTTATCTTGGAGCTGTCCACTGGGTGACGGTTTGTGGGTTGGCTTTGTTAAATATTCTTTCCTCCTTTCTTGCTTCCATCTATTCATTTGTTTAGTATATTTATTTTGAGGCAAGTACATGCCCATTGTTTACAATTAAAATAAGACTATAACAGGGATGTTTGGGTGGCTCGGTCGGTTAAGCGTCTGACTCTTGATTTCAGCTCTGGTCGTGATCTCAGGGTTGGGAGCTCAAGCCCCACATCTGGCTCCTCGTGCAGCACTGAGTCTGCTTGGGATTCTCTCTCCCTCTCCCTCTGCTTCTCCTGCCCGCTCACACACGCTCTCTCTCAAACAAATAAATGAATCTTTAAAAGAAAACACAGTACGGTGACAGCCATTCCCCCATTGCACTTACGCTGCCATCACTCCTGTGCCCAGAGGCAGCCCTTTCTGACTCTTCTCCTTATACTCTCTCGCATTTGCCTATTTCTAAATAACACACCATAGGCTGTGAGTGTCACTTATTGGTCTCTCTTAAAATTTTAGACTTTTACTGATTTCCTGCTAAGGATTTAGCCCTCACACGTCATCCCTTACTCTCAGCTTGCGCTGCCCCTCCTGTCTCCACTTGATGCGTATAGTCGTGTTACTGTGTGTGAGTACATTAGTATTTAATGTTTGCTTTATTACGACCGGGTTTTGTTTGTGGCTGAGCATTGTGACGCTTACGTAGAAATGTCTCAGGGTGTTCTGCTTCCCAGCTGGTTGTGTGTGATCTGCTTTGTTTCTCTGGAAAATGTTTGACCTTCTTTATCCCCCAGAGTGCTGAAGTTCCCAGCTGGGACACAGATCTTACAATCTTTTGATACCAGTGGTCCTTTCAATTCTGAAACTCATATCCTTCAGTTCGGGAAATTTTCTTATACTACTTGGATAATGTCCTTTCCACTCTTTTTTTCCTCTTTCTTGAGAGCTTATTATTTGGATATTTGGACCCACTGGTTTGATTCTCTCATTTTCTTATGTTTTTTTCTGAACTTTTTTTTTTTTTTTTAAAGATTTTATTTATTTATTTGACTGAAAGAGAGGGAGCACAAGCAGGGGGAGTGGCTGGTAGAGGGAGAGTGAGAAGCAGGCCTCTTGCTAAGCAGGAGCCCGATGCGGGGGTTGATCCCAGGACCTTGGGATCATGACCTGAGCAAAATGTGGACTCTTAACCGACTGAGCCACCCAGGCGTCCCTTCTGAACTATTTTCCATCTCTGTGTGTTTTTGTTCTTTCTGAGAGATTTTCCTGTTATTGTTGAACTTTTAATTTCTGCCAGCATGTTTTAATTTTTATTGGTCTCTGAATATTTTATTTTTAAAAAGAGGATCCTGTTCTTGTTTGATAGGAATAGGGATGGTTTGTTTGGATGGGGAAAAGATCTGGGACTCTAATTGCCCCTTCACATTTTGGCTTCAAACAACACGGTAGTTTTTTGACTGTACAGTTCTGTACGTCAGAAGTTTAATGGTTCTCACTGGGCCCCAGTCAAGGTGTCTGGTTGCCTTCCTTCCTGGCAGTTCTAGAGGAAAATCCATTCCCTGCCTTGTTCTAGCTTCTACAGGCTGGCTGCCATCCTTGGTTGTTGGCCCCCTTCCAGGTAGGGGCTGCTTTAAGTGAGCAGGTCAAATATGTCTCATACTGCATTTCTCTGAGTTCTTCTGCCTCCCTCTTTCACTTTTTAGGAATCTTGTGATGACACTGGATCCACCTAGATAATCCAGGATAATCTCCTCCTATCTTTTTTTTAATTGTGGTAAAAAACAAAAAATATAAAATTTACCATTTTAACCATTTCTAAGTGCCTAGTACATAGCGTAAACTCTATTGATACTGTTCTGCCGCAGACCTCTAGAACTTCTTCATCTTATGAAACTGAAACTCTGTACCCATGGACGGAGCTCTCCCATCCTCCTGCCCTAGCCTCTGGCATCCACTCTTTACTCCCGATCTCTAAGAGCCTGACTGCTTCACGTACCTCATGGAAATGGAGTCTTAGACTTTTCCTCTCTGGGCGACAGGCTTCTCTTACTCAGCATAATGTCCCCAAAGTTCTTCCATGTTGTAGCACATGACAGGATTGCCTCATTTTTTAAAAAAATTTTTAAATTTTTTAATTAACATATAATGTATTATTAGCCCCAGGGGCACAGGTCTGTGAATTGCCAGGTTTACACTTCACAGCACTTACCATAGCACATACCCTCCCCAATGTCCATAACCCCACCACCCTCCCTACCCCTCTCCGCCCGGCAACCCTCAGTTTGTTTTGTGAGATTAAGAGTCTCTTATGGTTGGTTTCCCTCCCAATCCCACCTTGTTTCATTTTTTCCGTCCCTACTCCCCACAACCCCCTGCCCTGCCTCTCAAATTCCTCATATCAGAGAGATCATATAATTGTCTTTCTCTGATTGACTTATTTTGCTCAGCATGATACCCTCTAATTCCATCCACGTTGTCGCAAATGGCAAGATTTCATTTCTTTAGATGGCTGCATAGTATTCCATTGTGTATATATACCACATCTTCTTTATCCATTCATCTGTTGATGGACATCTAGGTTCTTTCCATAGTTTGGCTCATTTTTAAATTAATTAATTAATTAATTAATTTTTTAAAATGTTTTTAAAGATCTTATTTATTTGACAGAGAGAGATCAGAAGTAGGCAGAGCAGCAGGCAGACAGAGAAGGGGAAGCAGGCTTCCCGCTGAGCAGAGAGCCTGACGTGGGGCTCGATCCCAGGCCCCTGAGATCATGACCTGAGCCGAAGGCAGAGGCTTACCCACTGAGCCACCCAGGTGCCCCGTGGCTCATTTTTTAAGACTAAGTGTTAGTATCCCATTTTGTGTCTGTACCACTTTTTCTTTAACGATTCACCCATTGATGGACATTTAGGTTGCTTCTCCCTCTTGGCTATTGTGAATAGTGCTGCAGTGAACCTGGGTGTGCAGGTATCTTTGTTTTAAATTTTTTTTTTATTTAAAAATTTTTCCCCACGTTTTATTCACCTATAATTAACATTTAGTGTTCTGTTAGTTTCATGTGTACAATATACTGATTTGCAGTTCTCTACATCACCCCGTGCTCATCGTGACAGGTGCACGCCTTCATCCCCATCACCTGTTTCCCCCATCCTCCTCCCATACCTCCCCTTCAGTGACCGTCAGTCATTTGTCTCGAGTTAAGATTTTGTCACTCTTTTTCTTTGTTTCTCACTTGTTTTGTTTCTTAAATTCCACCTATGAGTGGAGTCATGTGATATTTGTTCTTCTCTGACATAATTCACTCAGCATTGTACCCTCTGGCTCCATCCATGTCGTTGCAAATGGCAAGATTTCATTCTTTTTTATGGCTGAATAATATTCCTGTGTGTGTGTGTGTGTGTGTGTGTGTGTGTGTGTGTATCACATCTTCTTTATCCATTCATCAGTTAGTGGACACTTGGGACTGCTTGTGTGATTTGGTTGTTACAAATAACACTGCAATAAACAGGGTTGCACATAGCTTTTTGAGTTAGTGTTCTTGTACTCTTCAGGGTAAATACCCAGTAGTGCGATTGCTGGGTCGTAGGGTAGCTCTATTTTCAAGTTTTTAAGGAGCCTCCATACTGTTTTCCAGAGGGGCTGCCCCAGTTTGCCTTCCCACCAGCAGCGTACACAGGCTCCTTTTTTCCCACGTGCTCACCAACACCTTGTGGTTTCATCCCTTCCCTCCTTCGCAGCCACTGACAGTGCGAGGTGCTTCTCTCAGGTGGATTTTTATTTCCCCTGATGATCAGTGATGCTGAGCCCCCTTTTATATCCCTCTGAACCACCTCTGTGTCTTCTTCGGAGAAATGTCTCTTCAAGTGCTTTGCCCGTTTTTTAAATTGGGTTATTTGTCCTTTGGGTTAACTTGTAGGAATTCTTTTTTTAAAAAATTATTTTTATTAACATATAATGTATTATTTACCCCAGGGTTGTAGGAATTCTTTATGTATCCTATGTATTAACCCCATTATCGTATATGTAGTTTGAAAATATTTTTTCCCACCCCATAGTCTACATTGTGACTGACTATTCCCATTTGTCTATGTTTTTTTCTGTAGCCTGCACTTTTGGGGTCAGATCCAAGAAATCATTGCCGGGCCCAGCATCATATGTTTTCTTCCAGCAGTTTTTATTATCAGCTCTTCCGTGGAGGCCTTGAATCCAGTTTGAGTTAATTTTTGTGCGTGGCATCAGGGAAGGGTCTAACTGCTCTGTGCAGACTTTTAGCCAGTCCCTGTCCAGCCCGCCCCTTCCCCTGTCCTTCTGAGGAACCCCAGCCCCGTTCCCTGAGCAGTCGGCTAGGGTTGTTTGCTTCTCTGGGCAGGGAGGTCCCAGTATGCTCTGCGGGGCTCGGCGGTCATCTCTGCTTTTGGCTTCCAAAGTGTCGCTGGTGTCTCTTGTCTCCTCTCACCTACTTTTCTCTTCTCTTTGTCCTTAGGAATTTTGGTCTTTTTCTCGCTTTACTACAATTCTAATTGCGGGGGGATTTGGAGGGAAGCAGAGATAAACAGCTCCATTCTGTGGGTCATCGATTATTCCAAAATCCAGATTGCTCTTTTAAATGATATTAAATGTCATTTTTTTATCATGATAATTAAATATCATTTAAAAAAGCAATCTGGATTTGGGGCTTTTAAAAAATGGTATCAGGATGTGATAAAAAAAATGGTTGTCAGGATGTGCCTCCAGAAATAATTGTTGAGTCTGTTCCTTTGCTTCCTTTTCTCTGAAAACATCTAAGGCCAACATTGGTTGAAGTTACTTTCCCGGACGTTATTTTATAATTCAAAATAAACAGATTTTTGTTCATAATATGAGGTCTTGAATATAAGATGATACCTGTTTCCTGAGGTACACTTTTCTTGTGGGGGAAAAATCCTTGCTTTATCATTAGGTGTCTATTCTGTATGTTTTATTATCAGGAGATGATGTTCTTTTATGTATATTTTACTCCGAAGCTTTAATTCAATAGTCTTGAGTCAGTGTAACGACAAGCCTAATTTTTGTTAGTTTTTTAGTTAATTTGTGACTGTAGCTTTCTTTGCAACTGTACACAACTTCCTCGACTTACCGTGAGCTTATGTCACGATAAACCCGTCATAAGTTAAAAGTATTGTAAGTTGAAAATGCGTTTTTGCTACAGCTAATATACTGAGCATCATAGCTCAGCCCAGCCTACCTTAACCATGCTTGGAACGCTGACCTTAGCCTCTAGCTGGGCAGAGTCAACTAACACAGAGCCTAGTTTATAATCAGGTGTTGAATGAGTCATGTAATTTATTCAATACTGAATTCAGTACTGAAAATGAAAACCAGAGGGGTTGTGTGGGTACAGAATGGCTGTAAGTTACCCTCATGTCTGCTGGATGCCTGGGAGCTGAGGCTTGCTGCCGCCCAGCATCATGAGAGAGTATTCTACTGCAGAGCCCTAGACCAGGAATCGATCCAAATTCAAAGCATGGTTTCTGCCGAATGTGTATTGCTTTTTGCATTGTCATAGTCAAGAAGTCGTAAGTTAAACCATCATAACCCAGAGACCACCTGTATTTGATTATTTCCAGGTATAGTCCTATTTCTCATAGACAGGATAAAGAGAGGGTAATCAGGGGACTGCCTTAGTTTCTGACAAGATTCTCTGCGCTGTTAAGAGTGGTTTCTTTTATTGCAAGAATTGTTTCCTCACAAAGTTAATCCTCTTGGGTAGGTTCAAGATGGCTGCCATTCTGTTTGGCACATGGCCTTAGGATTTTTATCCTGGTGTCCAAGGATGGGCTTCAGAGAGCTAAAGGTCTTTCTGAAATTTGAGTGGTACCAGAGTAGCCTTCGCCTTCATCAGCTAGTCAGTGATGCAGGGCTTATGTAACCCTGGAAAGGGTTGAGGATGCACTTCTGATAGATGGTTCTAGAGAGAAGAAAACAGAATGCTGTTGATGAAGCGCGACTACAATGAGATGCTCTGTTGCAAGCTGCCATTAGATTACACATTTGTGTGGAAGTACCAGCAGCTGTCGATGAGGGACTGTATGAAAAGGGCTCTCTGTTCTTTGTCAGATGCAAAAACATCTCTAACTTCCTGGTTATGCAGAAACCCTTTGACACGGATGTAACCAGCAGGTAGCGTTCGCAAGGGTAATGGTTTGGCCTCAGAGAAGGGACCACCTTTTTATCAACTCATAAAGAGGGTAACCCTAGTTACCGTTTGTTTTCATACTGAGGTTGTTGTAGTTGATTTGTGAAAATCAGTTATTCCTTGACAAAGAATGTAGATAAATACATAAAAAGAGAAATGCCTCTGTGACGTAGAGAGTTACAGACTTGAGTTTTCAATGAAGAAAAGGTGCGGTTTCAAGTTATGTGTATTTTTGGCAAAAAAAAAAAAAACAAAAAAAACAGCTTGGAAAGAGGAGGGTAGGAGTTGGGAAGGCCTGTTGTGCATTTTTTGTTTTCTGATCGAGCGCTTTCATTTCGCTTCCAGTGACGTGGCCTGAGTTGATAATGTGCCTCTGAGCTTCAGGGTTAGATGGTTCCATTTTCCCCGTGGCTGAGCTCATGTTGCTCCTTTCTTCCAGGGCCACCACTGAGATCTTTGGGGGTTTCCCAGAAGCGTGTGGTTGGGAACGTCATGAAGGATGAGACAGGAGCCGGCCCGAGGAAGCGTGCATGAGAATAACGTGGAAGGAGCCCATCGGTAGATGCAGAAGGGCTGCTTTGGGAGGTAGGTGGGAGCCAGAGCTGGGGCTGACCCTGCCCTGGCACGTTCTGCTGCCCCCTGTCCACCGGAGCCGCTCTCTGTGCTCAGGGATGGGCGTTGCTCACCTTCTGGCCCCAAAAGCAACTTGACCTTGCAGGGGGCTGTTGCTCTTAACTCCTCCTGGCACAGCTCTGAGGCAGGGTCTCCAGAGCCCTTTCTGTTGCTCAAAGGCCAAGAAAGACCATAAAGGCAGCTTGCAACTCTGGGTAGAGAGGAGTGATGAAGATTTGTAGCCTGTGATTCTGGGAACTGGGCAGCCAGTATGGAAGCTCAGTGAGGATGTGGCCTTTGAATTAGCTATTCCTTCCTGGCTTTATTCTTCCCCTGACCGATGCCCAGTGAGTTGTGAACTTTGACCCCTTGCGCCCTCCCTGCAAACCCAGTGATGGTGTGGTGGGCTTACTTCATTTCCTTGCTGATAGTCTGTAATTCTTATCTTCTCAGTAACTAACGCTTATTGTCAAGGTCAGGGTCACCCATTATTTCCTATCCTGTGAGCTTCAGTGGGTGTCTCTTGATATGCTGGCTCTTTTCTTTCTTTAAGATTTTATTTATTCATTCGACAGAGAAAGAGACCACAAGTAGGCAGAGAGGCAGGCAGAGGGAGAGGGAAGCAGGCTCCCTACTGAGCAGAGTGCCTGATATGGGGCTCCATCCAGGAACGTGAGATCATGACCTGAGCTGAAGGCAGAGACCTAACCCACTGAGCCACCGAGGCTCCTGCTGGCTCCTTTTTTATGGAAGTGGCCACGTCCTGTATGTGTCACTTTGGTCCATTAGGCTATTTTGTTTTCCTTTTACTCTACCAACGTAGAACGCTACAGATAGACCCCGGGCCAAGTATTTAAGTCTTTGATCATCACATCATCATAGGAACATTAAACAAGTCCTGTTTCCTAGATGAGGATCCTGAGGATCCAAGTGGGTATTTCCCATGGTGCAGCTGGGCAGACAGGGCGGTGGGCAGTATGTCTGTCTCACACTCGGCGCTGTGGAGACCGTGTTGCTGTCAGGATTTGAAACAACCCTGGTGCCCATGGTATCATAACTCTTCCACTCTATTTTTTCCACCAGTGTCTGCTACTTGTTCTCATTTCGTGGATTCTTGGTTTTTTTTTTTTTAAGATTTTATTTATTTATTTGACAGAGATCATAAGTAGTCAGAGAGGCAGGCAGAGAGAGAGAGGAAGTAGGCTCCCCGTGGAGCAGAGACCCCGATGCGGGGCTTGATCCCAGGACCCTGGGATCATGACTGAGCCGAAGGCAGAGGTTTTAACCCACTGAGCCACCCAGGCGCCCCAGATTCTTGGTTTATGATCATACTTAAACATTGAATGAGCTTATTGAAATTTAGTATTTTCAAGAGTTATTGTTTCATAATTTTACTGAGACTATATTATCAGTCTGAGATGTGATGAAAAATGTCCCTTTCCTAATGGAGGCTGTCCTGGGTTCTTGGATAAGTCGTGAGTTGATGCCGAGGCTGGTGTAGGCAGAGGCCTGGGCTTGCATGTTTGCGATGCCGCCCCCATCACCCAGACCCTTCCAGGACCAGGTTAGTGAAGACAACACAGCGGAGACACTCCACTTTGCCAGAAATCTTCTCATGTAGTTCACAGAGGTGTTCTGGAGCCCAGATCCTTCCAAGTGTAGACCCGTGTCTTCAAGTGCACAGCGTTGGCTGAGCGGTCCTGTCAGTGTGCCCTGCTGGGAAGTCGCCCTCAAGGATGTGAGCTTTCAGTGTGAGTCAGTTTGGGAATAAATGGAATCCACTTTATTTTTCAGTAGTGGGCTACATGATTAGAAGCTCCGTTTCTTTAGGCTTCTGAAGAATTTTTATTTACTTATCGGACGCTCTGTGTACCTATACCTACTTTGAATCTTCACCAAAAGCCTGGCGGTAGGCGGGGTCTGCTTTCTTGGAAGTGTGACTCAGCTGTGGCTGGGACGTCGGGCAGCTTGCCTGGCCTCGGGCACTCGGAGACTGGCGGAGCCAGCACTCGAACCCAGATTGGTTTGATTTCCCGGACTGTGCTCTTGACAATGACCCTGCCTCACTGGTTATACACCGCAGGGACACTGACGGGGCAGACACATCCAGGAGTTTTTTTATGCTTTGCATTATTACACAGGCAGCCTTACAACAAACAGTTAAATAAGCCTCGTGGAGGGCGAGGCTTCTGGATGAGCCTGGTGCTTGCACTGGTGAGGCCGCATCCGGTGGCTCGTGGTGAACCGAGCCGCCTCTGCATGGCTGGGACGAGGATCTGCTCCGGCCGCCCCTTGTCCCTCATGAGCTTCCTGTGCTGCTCGCAGCAACGAGGCTCAATTCCCCTGAATGGTGGCACGAGCTTCCTCCTGCTACTTCCGAAGCAGTGGGGCCTGGAGTCTGGCCACACAATCACACAGATCAGGGCAGCTCCGGCATTCACAGAGGAATCTCTGAACTTCTCAAATTCTTGTTTGCAGATTTTCACTCTCCTGGGTGTTTAATGTGGTTGAGGCTTCATGTACTAGTTCAGTGAGCATCTCCCCCACCACCCCGAGTGTCCACCCCGCTGTTTTCTTTGGCTGTTTCACGTGAGTTCCCCAACGGAGGTGCTTACAACTGAGAGGGGTGAACAGTCAGTAGACGCGCTCCCCCCAGAACAGGCTGACTTGAGGCAGGGACTGTAACGCAGTGCTCCTTGTCCTTCTTCTCTTCCAGATGTCGCTTTCAGGAAGGAAAGCCTGGGAATCACGATGGCATAGAAAACCTAGGGGAGGTTGGCCAAGAGAAGGAAAACACACGTTCACATGGTATTACTTGAGGTTTCCCTTCTGCCTGTATTTCTCCTGCAGGCACACCAGGCTTCCTGGATTTGGTACTTGACATAAGCCCTCCAGTTGGAATTCCCATAGACTGACGTGCTTTGAAGTTCACAGTTCCGTAGCTGGTCCTCCAACGTTCTAAGGTTAGGAGAGACGGAGGGCTAGCCTTACGAGCACTGGTGGTGGAAGGTAACTTTAGTGATTGGGTCCGCATGGGTGGTCGTTATAACTTGTTAGGGGCTGTAGGAGACCGGTTCCTGTGTTAGGGTTGATGCGGACAGTGGGAGGGCATTCTTGTCTTCGGATACGGTGCGGTGGAGCCTGGCAATTTGTGAAATCTGCATTACCTGTTTTTGTTTCCTTCTGTGCCTTTGCTTACACTGCTCTGTGGGAGACTTACTCCTTTCCTTTTGTGCCTGCTTCACTCCCATGTGATGTTCCAAGTCCAGTGCAAATAGCTCAACTCTCTTGCCTTCTGGCTGCTTTAAAGACTCTGCTTTGTCTTTGGTGCTTGTGGTTTCTTACATCCAAGTGGGGAGCTCTCTTTCCTTGCTCCTTCCCCTTCTCCTGATGGGGACTTTTTGGATTTTCTGAGTCCGAAGATTGATATTAGGGAAATTTCACCATTATTTATTACAATAATGCCTCTACCTAGTTTATTATTTTCTTCAATAAGAACCCCCCACCAGGCATATGGTAAGAGTTTCTCACTTCCCTGGTCTGTGTCCCTTTTTCATTTTTGTTGTCTTTGTCCTTGCCTGCACAATTCTGGATCATTTCTTTGCATTTGTCTTTTGAGTCACCAGTTTCTTTTCAGCTTATTTTTAATCTGCTGTTTACACTGTCCTTGATAAAAAAAGGATTTTTACACTTCCAAATTTTGTTTATGTATTTATCCATTCATTTACTTATTTATTTATTTCACCCTACTGCTTTGTCTACAGAGACTAGACAAAGGTACAACACCTAGAATATAGGTGCTCAATAAATATGTTTTTTTTAATTTTGAAATATTTAGCCATTATTTTTGGTCCCTTCTGAAGTCCATGTGGTAATACTTTTAAATGAGATTTTACTCCTTTTCAGACTTCCCTTATTTATTGAGATATGTTAAATCTGCTTATTTTATGTTGCCTTCGAGCGTTTGAATTCCGGCATGTGACATCTTTTCAGATCTGACTCATTTGCCTGTGTCTGTTGGCACTCGTTCACGGTGATGTGTTTCCTTGCGTGTTTGTGGTTTATTGACTGTGAACTCACGTTCCTTAGCAGTTTTATCTGTGCAAGTTCTTTAAGGCCTAGTTTGAAGTAGTTACATTTGCTCCTTTCAGGTACCAGTAGGCACCATCAACTAATTCCCTACTTGTGGTTTTTTGAATTTGGACCACAAAACCACAGAGAACTCGTTGCCAGTTATAGATTCTCAAGGGAGATTTTCCACCCCATCCCCCACCCCAAATATACCCACTTTAAAAAGAAATCACCCGTATCCCGAGGGCCCAGTTCTGTGGGGTCCAGTGTAACGAAGGGGTCTGTTCAGCTCACAGCTGAGTAACCTGGGTTTATGGCCTCTCTGGTCTGCAGAAGGATCATCACAGAGGGTCAGCGTGACCGGAGGTTCTGGTTCCGCACCTTTCCCACTTCTCCTGTCTCTTCCTTTATTGTCAACTCACCAATGCATTTAAGAAGATGTTGTATTTTCTTCTTCTTCTTTTGTTATTTTTATTTGGGCAGGGGTGCTGTAAGGTATCTGTTGTGTCATTCTGTGGGAAGGAAGGATCTGGTTTTGTTGCTTTGTTTTTAGTAGGTACTTCTTTTTTGTGTGTGTTATTTTTTTGAAAGATTTTATTATTTGAGAGTGAGAAAAAAGAGAGAGAGAGAGCACAAGCAGGGGGAAGCACAGAGGGAAAGGGAGATGTGGAACTGATCCCAGGACCCCGGGATCATGACCTGAGCTGAAGGTAGCCGCTCAATGGACTGAGCCGCCCAGGGGCCTCTTAGCAGGTGCTTCTAATAGATTAAGTGGGAAGGCATTTGGGGTAGAGCTCAAAAAATAAAACTTGGGTATAAGCCTAGTTTCTTTCATTTTGGGTGTCTGCTCCAGCCTATCAGATTAGGTCTCGAATGAGGTGGAGAATAGTATCTTGTGAGAT